ACTCCAATATTTTACTTGTAAATTAGTATAATTTCAGCAGTGTAACAGTACTTGTACTTGAGTACACATTTTCAGTACTCTTTCCACCTCTGATCTACAACTGATTCACCTTTGGAGGCAATCCACTTCAAGATGGCTACCATAGCTATCGGATCTTAACTAACATAAAATTGCTATAACCCTGTCAAATTAAAAGATACTGAGATAGGACTTTGTATGGTAGTAGCTAAGAGTGATCCCAAATACACTCTGAGTAACAGATCACAAGAGATCCTTTTAAAATTTAGGCATGCAAGGCTGCTGGCGATATGTATTCCTTCTAGGAATGCTATTTTCCTTTAAACAGTTTTCGCTCTTCATCACCAACTAAACTCAACTACTTATGGTTGTTTGCAGCCTTCAGATAAAACCCTAAAACAAAAAAGTGAGAGAAGTCACAAGAAAAACTTGTGCTTCTAATAAAGCCTGCTCCTTGCAGCGATGCATAAAAAAGACCACAAACTAAAAAAACAAGTTTATCAAAAGGCAGCGTTAGTTTCTCCAGATATGTCTGTTCTGAAAACTTTGTTAAAAAATCCAATGAAGTTGTCAGGTCCTCTGGATGGTTTCTTTGTGTTGAGACGTTTCGTCCTTCATCCAAAGGACTTCATCAGTCCAAGAAGCCACAACAAACTCAGTCCCACAAGCAGCACCTTCACATAGTGGGCCAGCCAGTTTGAAGGTGATAAGATGGTTTCTGGAGTCTGGAGTCTGCCCTCTCCCCCGTCGACTCCTCTGAGGCAGCCATAGCCAAAGTGGTTCAAAAGTGGTTCATGCTCAATAATCCAGGTTAAAAAATCCAACAAAGTTAAGTCAGGTCCTCTTGATGGTTTCTTTGTGTTGAAACGTCAAACTGGTTGGCCCACTATGTGACTGTGCTGCTTGTGGGACTGAGTTTGCTGTGGCTCCCCGGACTGATGAAGTCCTTTGGATGAAGGACGAAACATTTCAACACAAAGAAACCATCCAGAGGACCTGACTTAACTTTGTTAGATATTTTACCAGGATTCATGAGCACAGACTTTGATGTTTGTTCAAAAGTGCATTTTTAATCTCATGCCTTCCTGGATTTTTTCTCTTTTCGTCGCTAAGACACAACAAATGTATCTACTGCATCATCTCTCTGCAGGCAGCACCTAACAATCCCTTTGAGGATTTGTTGTGATGAGGAAGATGAAATCAGTTTCTGCTGAGTGAACATGACTTGAGCAAGTTAATGCCTGTATGTCTGTAAAACAGGTTTATAAGCATATCCAGTGTTTTGCTCAAAATTGTACATAACCATAACCATATTTTAAAAAATCACTTCATTTTTCCTTTTGCCCTGTACATAAAGAGTGTCTATTTAAAAAAGAGAACAGCTGCTTTTTTGCACCACCTTGTCTAAATAAAGGCTGAATGAATTGGTGACAACACACCTCATATGGGCGAGTTCTCCTGTATACACAGCAAACATGAGCATATTTAGCCTTAACCCCTGAATCGTTAAATATTTCTGAAGTCAGGCTTTAAAACCGTTGTAATCTGTGGGTGCCACAGCAAACATTCATCCATCCATCCTCTTTACCTGCTTCTCCCATTTTGGGTTGCAGGGGTCACTGGTGTCCATATACAGCAGTCACTGTGCAAGAGGTGGGGGACATGCTGGACATGTCTCCACTCCATCACAGGGACACACAGAGACATGCATGTTCCGGGTTTTTGGGAGGAAACTGGAGTACCTGGAGAAAACCCATGCATGGAGAGAACATGCAAACTCCACCCAGAAAGGCCCCTGGCCGGGATTCGATCCAACAACCTCCTCGCTGAGAGGCGGCAGCTCTACCAACTGCGCCACCGTGCCGCCCGCAGCAAACATGACAAAGCATTTGATCACACTGGGCTGGTTAGAGAGCACAAGCAAAATATGGGAAGCAAAATGCACAGTTTTAAAGATAATGCCTGCTAAAGTTTTACAGCTCAGACGAATGAATCTACGCACAAAGAAATACAAATCAGCTCCATTAGGAGAACACAGAGACACATATCAGCTGGCAGCACACGCCAGTGTCTAAAAAAGACAGTTTTCTAAAAATTAAAGGCAAAATAATGCCAACGGTGCACTGGACACTGAGCGTGTTGGGCTCTGTGATTTGTGCAAAGTCATTACAACGCAGGGGAAAGGAGCTGAGCAAAACCAGTTCTTGGCACAAACATTCAAATGATCAAACACAAAGGTCACGCCATTTTCGACAACGCCTACTCCAGTCAGACCAGAAATATCACCGTACACCACGAGCCACATTATCTTTCTGAGAATAACACAGTTTTATTTAAAAAAAAAAAACCTGAAAGGACACAAAATGTCAGACCCTAACAAAAGCAAAAAAATAACTGGTTGTATTTGTTTCAAAAAGGATCAGATATGAAATACCTTGCCCAGTAAAAACCTACAAAAACATCCACCGACACAAGCAAGACAGAAATATGTTGTTTTAAATCTCTCCAGCTAAATTCCGTTTGAACACGTCACTCTTGCAGCCCAGTGGGGCTATCTACTACAACCAGTGCTTAATCTGAACCGTATCCTGCCGGAACAGGAACCGGCCTGAGGAGGCACCTGGTGTTTCACGTGTGGAGGAGGACAACAACGAGGAGGACAGTAAATTCAGCGGAGAAGGGTCGGACTAGGAACCATCAAGTGAGGGATGCCCAAATGCCTCCCTTAAAGAAATTTGTCCAGATGACATGATTTGACCTTTTTTGTTGTTATCTACCTGGATGACTGAGCTTACAAATCTTTTTTCCTCTAAAAGAATGCTTCAAGACAGAGAAATATAAATGGTATGCCTTATGAAATATGTAACCTTAGTCAAACAGATAAATATATTTGTTTTAGATGGATGACTTTAAGTAGTTAAAGGAAAGTTTTGGTCATTTTAAATAAAATTCTGTGAAACATGCAAAGCTTCACTCAAAATTTCTACATCGGTTCATATAAATGCA